CGTGCTCCGTCCCGGCTTTGTAGGGATGCGAGGTCAATGGTCTAACGACTACGGCATGCACGACTATGAGTACCCCCCCCCCCCTCCCGCCCCCTCCCCCCATCCGGTGTTTGCCATTGGGGTTGGGCTTTCGTCGCTTGGTAACGACGTTGTAATATTGTAGGAAAACGGACGTGGCGTCGTTGCTGGGTCCCCAGTGCTCTGCTGTACTTTGTTCCCGGTGGTTCGGTCGTTTAGCGAGGTGATCGTATGGGTCATCCATCCCACCATTCCCCCCCCCCGGATGAAACTGGTCGCAGGTCATTCTCCCCCTCGCCAAGGAGTTTTTGGACGACATTGGCGCGCAGCTCGCGGTAGCAGTTGGTGTCCACCGGCAATTCAAGGGAGGGGGGTGACTCGAGTCGGACGGCGATGACGGTACCGAAGACCCACCGGGCTTCAACACCCGTCGCACCATCCGGGAGCTGATCAAGACGAAGGAAAAGCTTCCCTCGGGCGGAGGCGACAAACATCATAAGGCCTTCCTCGCTCGGTAAAACTAACCATCGGATCTTGTTGCCTTTGCACACTTTTCGTAGTCAGTTGTTGAGCAAGTGCCTATTGTCACTCCTGGTAGAAGAGGGGTATCACGAGGTAATTTTATGGGTCGTGCATGTCCTGAACCTACATCCAGGAAGGGTGCAGCGGTGCAACAATCCCAGTCTTGTCCTTCCGCAACTAGATTTTTCGGCTCAGCATTCCAACCGCTGACGTTTCTTCTGTCGTCTCGACCAACCCATATGCATCACAGGTACAAGGTCATGATGCTCGGTTTCGTCCAGGAAGCTCGGGACAAACTGCCGCAGCTAACGAATGCTGGTTGGAAGTCGCCGAAATTTTGTTTCCCTTACATCTACACCAACGTTGTTCTAGATGGCGACAACGCTGAAACCGCCACCACCCGCGACCACGGCGTCGGCGACATGACCGACGCTGGCGGTGACGACGAGGAGGGCAGCAGTGAAGAGGAGTAACGGTGGAGAGAAGTAACGGTGGAGAGGATGGCGGCGGTGGAGACGAGGGCAGCAGTGAAAAGGAGGGTAGCGATGAAGAGTCCGTCTAGAGCGATGAGGAAAACGGCACCGAGCCGGAGTACGTCCCGGGAGGCAGTAGCGAGTACGACAGTGACAGCGCCGAAGAAGGGATGAGTGCTGGCGACACTGAGGCTGAGGACTAGAAGATTCATGTAGGCGAATAACCCATGTTGTATTGTGCAGTGCATCCAGTTCGTTCGACTTGGCGTTGCACAGTGGCGGTAGAAGACGTAGGGTGTTTCAAGGTGTCCAAGGCTAGGAGGTCGCTAGGAGTGGGCAGTGCATTCGTTGGCGATGATCTGTTTCGTAACGAACTTGTTAGTACGTTCCAACTCCTCATTTTCGCGAGACAAAAACAACCCTTCGAGCTTTTGGGTAACTGCCAATGCAAGTTATTGTCAGTGCCCCTATCATAATATAGAAGGTAACGTTTCCACTGAAGTGTGTTTGAACTTTACGAGTTTTTTGTCGTTCAAGCCTGAGTCCTCAATCGACACTCAAACTGGTGGTTGTCGGCCGATCGCCTGCAATACACTTTCGTTTCCGAAACCGAACTCCTGGGCCGATCGATGACACCGTCCCCGGTTTGCTTGTTTTGAACTGCCTGTATATGTTTCAGTCAC